CATTTATTAGATGAAGGTTAGGTGTTCGGAAGAATCCTAAGCTAAAAATACTTGTAAGTATTCGGAAGAAATTCAAGATAAGATCCTCATAAGCAATGGGTTATGGTATTTTCAAGGGGCTTTGAACTGGCCTAGGAATATTATAACCTAATCCCTTAGATCTCGGAAGAGACTAGGATAGGATTTCAACAACTAAAAAGGGTGTCTTTATCAATAGGTTAGGCTGTCCAACATCGTTGAGTGAGAGCAGATGCCTTGGCATCCTATTCTGTTAGGTTCCTGTGAGAACATTTTAGGAAAGCCCTGTCGAGTAAGTGAAGTCCAGAAAACTTAAATATACTTGAGAAATAAGTTTAGCATCCTTAGATCAATCCCTACCATTCATTCCATTGAAAGCTTGTCACGTGAGGATTATCTTTTTTTTATTTTATTTTCTATTTATTTACTATTTTTTACCATTTTCCTTTGCCATGACATTTCCTTTTGTTACTCATACACATTTCATTTGCTTCAACATAATCATTTGTGAATACCATTAGCTATACTTAATTACTTTAGAATAGTGCATAAACTTTACTCAATATCCTTCCAATCCCTGTGGAGACGATACTCACTCATCGCTTTGCCATGCACTAAGCGATATGGAAGCATGTCCAACGGGGTCTTGTAAGTTTTTTTTATAAGCTTATAGTGCATCATCGAGGTGTAATGACCAATGTTTCCGTGAAGGATTTACAACTTTTTCCATAATTCGTTTTATCCCATGGTTAGAAATTTGGCTTTTCCATTTGTTTACGGATGGTATATTATAGCAATTTGATGGTTTACTACATATCTTTGTAATGCCTTAGTCAATTGCTTACCAACAGATAAGGGGCCTTCATCAATGATGAACGCTCTCAGTGATCCAAAGCGAGTAAAAATATATTTGTGGAGAAACCTTAAAACCACCTTAGCGTTGTTTATAGTAAATACTATAACTTCCACCCATTTAGATACATAGTCAACATCAATTAGGATAAAGAGGATTCCCACATGATGATGGATATGGTCTCATAAAATCCATCCCCAAACATCAAACAATTTGATTTCTAAAATAGACTGCATTGGCATTTTGTTACGGCAAGAAATGTTATTGATTCGCTGGCACCAGTCTAAGAAAATCGTTGGCATCCTTGAACAACGAAGGCCAATAGTAACCACAATGAAGAATTTTTGATGCAGTATGTATATGCCCAAAATGACCACCATATGGTGCATCATGACAATGATGTAGAATGTTTTGTTGCTCACACTCTAGGATGCATCTTCATATAATTTGATTGTTACATTACTTAAAGAGGTAAGACTCATCCCAATGATAGGGTCAAATATCTCTCAAGAATTTTTTTTCTTCCTTGGTAAGTTAGGCAGGTAGAAACAAACTACTCACTAAATAATTAACAAAGTTTATGTACGAAGGAAATACCTTAATGGAAAGTAATCTCTCATCTGGGAAAGCATCATGCATTACTAACACTTTGCCATCTTTACTACTTGATTCCAAATGAGATAAATGGTCAGCAACCTGATTTTTAGATCCTTTCTTGTCTTGGATTTCAATACTAAATTCTTGAAGCATCAATACCATCGTATTAATATTGGCTTAGTGTTTTTCTGGGCAAATAAATACTTCAAAGAAGAATTATTAGTATAGATAACGATCTTAGTTCCAACAAGGTAAGATCAAAATTTATCAAAGGAAAACACAATAGCTATAAATTCCTTCTCGGTTGTGGTATAGTTGACTTGAGTGTAATTTAGTTTTCTGCTAGTATATTGTATTGCATGGAAGACTTTATCTTTCCATTGCCCTAGCATTGAACCTACAGCACGGTCACTAGAATTGTACATTAGCTCAAATGGAAGATTGCAATCCAATGCCACTATAAAGGTATTGACTAACTTTAACTTAATTGTTTCAAAGAACTACAACACTTCATCATTTCCTATTTTGCTCCAGCAATGAACACAATGATATAGCAATTTGGGATAAGTTATTGATGAATCTTTGATAGAATCTAGCTTGTCTAAGGAAACTCCTTACTGATTTCACATTAGTGGGAGGTGATAGTTTCTAAATAACTTATTTTGTCTATTTCAATGACTCGATAAGAAATTCGACACCCTGGCATTATTCCTTCAGTTACCATAAAATGAAATTTTCACACTTTAGACTTAAATTGGTTTCTTAACATCCTTGTAATACAACAACCAGATTAGTGAGACATTGATCAAAATCTTGACCAAAAATAGAAAAGTCATCCATGAAAACTTCCAAGTAATATTCAATCATATCAAAGAATATTATCATCATACACTGCTGGAATGTTGTTAGAGTATTGCATAATCTGAATGATATTCGTCTAAAAGTAAAAGTACCATATGGGCAAGTTGAAGTGGTCTTTTATTGATCATTAGAGGCTATAACTATTTGTTTATATCCACTATACATATCTAAAAAACAATATAAAGTTTTTTCGTAAGACGATCTAGAATTTGATCGGTGAATGACAATAAAAATTTATCTTTCCTTGTGGATTTATTGATCTTTATATAATCATACATATTCTCCATTCAGTTGATGTACCTGTTGGTACAAGTTCATTTTTCTTATTGGATACTACAATAATGCCACCCTTTTTTTGAACGCATTGCATCAGGCTTACCTAGTTGCTATAAAAAATCGGGTATATGAATCCAACATCCAACCATTTGATGATATATTTCTTAACCACTTCCTTCATAACTGAACTTAGCCTTCGTTGTCACTCAATAGAACCGTTATTGGGATTTTCTAGTAGTATTTTATGTATACAAAATGTTGGACTAATGCCTTTAATATCAGTGATACTCCAAGCAATTGCCTACCTATGCTACTTCATAAGAGCAATCAGCTTATCATCTTGTGATGGTTTGATCTTTGCTTCAATAATAACGGGCAAGGTCTTATGATTTCCTAAAAAGGCGTACTTAAGATGCTTGGGTAAATGCTTCAAATAAAGTGTGGGTGACTCCTATATTTAACATTTAAGAGGTTGAATAGACCAGTTGGTGAGTTCCAATGACTCAAAATGATGTATCTAACTCCCCTCAACTTCTTCCTTCTCAATTAAATCATTTATTGTCACAACATCATTTGCAACAATATTCATATTGTAACATTCATCCCATTGCTCCTATAGGAAAACATCAAAAATAACAATAGAGTGGCATTCAACATTATCATCAACATATGAAACATGATTCAAAACATTGAAAGTAATGTGTTCATCATTTAAACATATAGTAAGTTCTCTCTTTTCAACGTCTATTAAGGCTCTACCAGTAGCAAGGAAGAGTCAACCAAGTATGATTGAGACATCCTTATCAGCTTCACAATCCAATATGATGAAATCAATAAGAAAAATGAAGTTGTCCACTCTAACTAACATGTTTTCAACAATGCCACTCAGATGCATGGTGGATTGGTCAGCAAGTTGTAAAGTCGCGGTGGTAGGCCATTCTTTTCCATTTCCAAATTTCCTAAAAATTGACAATGGAATTAAATTAATACTGACACATAAATCACATAGTCCTTTTCCTACAAATTGATCACCAATAATACAAGTAATAGTGAAACTCCATGGATCTTTGAGTTTAGGTGGTAATCGACTTGTTTCTAAAACACTGCATCTCTCAATAAGTGCAACAATTTCAAATTCTCCAAGCCTTCATTTCTTTGAAATAACTTCACACATGAACTTTATGTAGTTTGGGTTTTACTCCAATTCTTCAATCAACTAGATGTTGATTTTCAATTTCCTAAGCATTTCCATAAATGCCTTGAACTGCTAGTCCTCTTTAGTTTTTTTAAACCTTTGAGTAAATGGAGGTGGAGACCTTGGAGTTGGTAGTATTGGCATTGAATTTATAAGAGGTGGCAGTATTGTTGGTATTGTTCGTGGTAATAGCCCAGAAGTACTACACCGTCCTATTTCTTTTGTTGTAACATCAACAGTTGTTTATGCAATTTCTACTTCCATCTTCTTGTCCTTATCTTTCTATCCATGCCTTTCATCATCTTTCTTCTTAGGGTCCTCAATAGGCTTCCCAATGTGAAGACCATTTCTACTAGTGATGGCTTTACAATGCTCATTACAATGAGCTTTCCCTTGTCGCTTTAGATTCTCGATATCACTAGAAAGTGTTCCTTGCAGTCAATTACTCATAGCATTTTCCAACTGCACTTGATTTTCCAATGCCCTCAATGATGATAATTAACTTTGGATAAAAGCTTCATTCCTTTGATTGGTTGTCTCAGTTCTTAACATGAAATCCTTTAATCAAGTTTCAAGAGATGCAGAAGATGAAGCTTGGTTTAAATGCTTCCCTTGATAGTTTTGATATTGTTGAGACGGTGCTACTTGCTGTTGAGACTGATGTTAGGGCTTCGTATGTTGATGTTTATAGTGTTGTTGTGTATTTAATTGAAACGCTATATTGGATTTGCAACATTCTAGCTTCTCCAATATAATTTGTGATGGTTACAAAAGTTGGCATTGTACGTGTTGCCATATGCATTAGTATTGTCATTTATATGGTTTTTTCTCACATAATAGATTAATTCGAGATTTTGTGTGCATTCTTCATAGTTTGATCATCTTCACAATAAAAGTACAAAAGAAGATATGTGGTTTTTACCTCATACATACCCCCTGGTTTATATAACTTTTTCACTATATCCATAAATGTTGTTATTTTTGAAGCCATTGAATTCAAGGTGTCAGAATCCACTGTTGCAACATTACATGTTCATCGTGTCGGGCTATTGATAAATATTGTTATATATCCTTTCTAAAATATCATATGATTCATTGTAGGTTTTATCTAACAATGCTCCATTGTCAGAAGCATCAACCACCATGTGTGTTTGCATATTAAAACCATTATAAAACATTTTCATTTGTGTCCAATGTGAAAATCCATGCATTGGGAATTTACACTACAAATCCTTGAAACATTCTCATGCTTCCTACAAGTTCTCATCTTCTAACTGCTTAAAAGATATTAAGTCATTCCTTAGATTGACATTCATATTGGGCAGATTTAATCTCAATAAAAAAAATTGTGCCAATTCATTCCACGATGCTATAGCACTTGGAGGCAGAAAATTAGGCCATGCTCTAGCTTTATCACATAGAGAATAAGGAACCAATTTCAGTTTTAATGCTTCATCAAGTACTCCTTTCTACAAAAACAAGTCACATAATTCCATGAATGCTCTAAAGTGTGCTCTCGCATCTTTAGTAAATGAACCATTATACTTCCCCATTGACTGTAGCATTTGAAACATTACTGACTTCATCTCAAAATGGACAACATGAATGGTTGGTTGGATGATGCATGAATTCAAGTCATAAAGTGTTGGTACAACATGTTCCTCATTGGTCAGTTGTAGTCATCATTGTTATAAAATTACGACATATTAACTCTATACCTAGCCAAAAATTCGTTATCATGCTCATGTTAGGTAAAGCATTGTTACCATTTCCAACATTCATGTTTGCTCAATTTTGGTTAGCTTCTTTTCGACAGCAACAAAATCTTCGTTCTATTTTAGGATCAAAATGTTGTAGTTCGTCATCGTTGCTATGGGACATATACCAGCACTCTAAACTACGTAAAGAAATAAGAACCTAAAAAATAAACAAGTAAATAACTAAAAAGAAAACTCTAATGTAAAACCATTGCTTCCCAGAAATGGCGCCAAAAACTTGATGCTACGAAAAAGTTACAGCATTCAACGTAAGTGCACATATCGTAAACCAAGTAATAAAGTGGAAACTTTAAGAGTTTCGAGTATCGAACCCATAGAGAGCAAAATTTAATTGCTATAGAGTTGCTAAAAAAATAAATGTTTAAGATGGTCCACAAACAAGATTATAGAAAAGGTAAGATTAAGTGCCGTGCTACATCATTTAATAATCATTAGATTGAGGATTGAATGGGTTTGGATGATAATTGGAAGCTTCTACTATGTTCATGTATAAAACTTTACATTCTCATGTTAAGCAATGATTAACAGTGTTTAATCAACAAGAATTAACCTTCATTAGCCTAAATAATTAAACATGTAATATGGTAAAACATTGGCGACATACGTCTCAATACACTAAATTATTTCTCAAATATACCAATGATGAACAAAAGTTGATGCAATACCCAAAATATGTATTTCTAAATATCATAGATAAAGTATACAATAAGATGATTTTACTTTTAAAAACATCCCATGAAGTTTAACATCACATAAAAGTAAAATAAAAGCATGAATCACAACAAAAGTATTTCCACAAACACTTATGTTCATAAAAAAATAACATCATAACATTAAAGAAATATCCAAGTCTAACTTTCTACTTCCCTATCTCAAAGGAATAACAAGAGTAAAAGAGGATCTTCTCAATTACCGCTTCTACATGGTGCTGCTCCCCAACTACTATGGCACTCCGTAATGGTGAACTTAGGCAGTCATGGCTGACCGGACAATAAAATATATAGAGAAAATATTGGAAGGTGAAAAATTGGATGATTTAATGGTGTGAGATCCTCCTCTATTTATAGGCTAGAGAAATCCAACTTCAACAAATATAATTATTCCAGGCGTTGAGTGAAATGCTGCCAATTGATACCTGTCTAATCAGCTATCAGATTCTAGAAAATTCCAATAATTACCTGTGACATCAGAAATTGCTACCAGCTATACACAGCGTACGAGCCATCATCGCTTTACATCATTACCTAAAACATGGAGTAATGCTAGAGCATCAGTATACCAAAATTCAACAATAAATATCAAATTTAGCCCAAAGTTACCCAACCAATTCTCATGATGCAATATGTATAAAAATATGTGTTAATGTTCCTAATATGCTTATAATAATTCTTTAGTTCAAGCTTATCTGAGGTAAAAACAACATATATGATAAATCATTTTTAGAGTTACTGGTCTGCCTAAACCGACCTGCCTGAATTGGTTTGCCTAAACTAATTTTGAACCGCTGACTAAACTGAATTATACTTTAACTAGCTCGACCCATTGACTTTGACCGCCCCAACCCGTTAACTTTTACTTGATTTGTTGACTTTTTCTTTTGAAGAGATCTATCTTAACGTTTTTAACGTTATAAGTCTATTTTTATAATCAATTTTACCAATTTTTTATTATTGCTGACTATTGACTTTTTCTTTTGAAGACATCTATCTTAACATTTTTTAATGTTATAATCTTTACAATACAATTATGTTAAGTAAATTCTAAAATTTATGGTCTTACTATATGATATTATGTTCTGAAGGTGGTCACCTGTCTCTACACCGCTCCCCAGTTTGTCTGAATCAACTATGTTCAATCCAACTTGATTTTGCATGTTCGACTCGAGATACGTGTTAGTGTTATTAACTAAATTACTGGTTGATTTCGTTTAAGTAATTATTACTTCAGTTCTTTTATAGTAATATATAGCATTAGGTTTTTGTTTCGTATGACTAGTACTACTGTTCGTGGGAAACGTGAAGCTTACCTAATATAGGTTAGTTGGTATAGGTGTTTCTCTTGACATGTTCGATACATTTAATGTTTATTGATATTGTATGACATGATTCTATTTGAACACATGTTTGTAACTTGGTTATATTTATCCATAATATGTCAAACTTTATTAATATTGCATCACTATCAATTTATATATTGGTATATTTTTGTGATTCTGCATGAGATCCTCGATGAAGGGTGTTTTCTTGTCCTCAAGCAACTAAAATGCAAGGAATAATTATGCTAAACAATAATGTTACTAAGGCAACTCAAACTTTTAATTCACTTTTTCATTTCTCAGAATTTTTCATTGTTGCCAAATGTGTGATGGCATTAATTGATCTCAAATTAAGGAATGTATTCTAAACTTACCAAAGTCAGAATCCATATAGTGATGTGGTGTGCAAGCAAGGTGTATCCTATCAATACTTATCTAAATTGGAAAAAATTGATCCTACTCACTTCTTTAAATTTTCAACGTTGTAGCAACATCATCCTCTCTTTATTTCATTACTGGAGCCAATGTTAGGCACCTCCAGGATCTTTTTTTATTACTATTTCATTACTAGATCTAGTTTTAGGCTTCTATAGTATATTAGAAATTTGAAAATTATTTTTTCATTTTTTTCACTAGAACCAATTTTGGGCACCTCTAGTATCGTTTTGTCCAAATCAATGCTAGAGCCAATGTTAGACACCTCTAGAATTTTTTTAAAAGTTCGATTGTTTGCTACAGTACTTACTAATGTTGTGAGATTTATAGGGTTCAACAATTTCTAATGTCTCTATGTATTGAAAGCATACACCCATTGTGTTAAAGTTTTTCCACAATATCCTAACCTTAGAAGGAATCTAGCGCATTCCTCATGCATTTCACAACTAAAAAAAATTCATCATCGAACTTCATCAAAAAGAGTTTAAAATTTTTCATCAACTATGACAACATCCTAATCATTAATGTAGTAACAATAATGCAACGTGAACATGACAAATACAAATGCAAATGCAACAAAAAAATTCAAGTGTAACATCACAAATGAACAACACACCACCAAACCTGAGATGTGCATTTCCCTGAATGCATGCAAACAAAGAAAAAATATGAATTTAAATACAAAATCTAATAGGGACAAAAATACTCCCCTATTGAGTTGAAGATGCTGTGCAACAATGGCAGTATGGAATTCAAGAAGATGTTGGACAATAATGATTATTTGGAACTCCAGCTAAAGTTGCGAAGTGAAGTCAGCTATAACAGTATGAACTAAAGATGATGCGGTGATCAATGTGGGGCAATACCTGAAATAAAACTCGGATAAAAGTACTAAATAGAACTAATAAATAAAAAATCTTATCTAATGTCATAAAATGACTTATTGAAAGCGTATAAAAAATTTATTTCACATAGTAAAATTGAAGTTTGTGGTAACTTCTTCTGGGTCCTAGTAAAATGATATCCTCTTTAGTGAGTGCAACGATTTCAAAAATCACAAATCATATGTTTCTTGGAAAACACTTCCTTCATAAATTTAACGTAGTTTGGTGTTTGCTCCAATGCTTCTAGCAATGGTATGTTAACCCAAAATTGCCTCAGCACATCAATGATTTTCTAAATTGTTGGTCCTCCTTGCTTTTCTGGAACCTTTGGGGGAATGGAGGTGGAAGTATTGGATTTGGCGATGTTGATATTGGGTGGATATTAAGAGACATTATTGTCGACATTGTTGCCGACAATGGTCCAAAATTACTACATTGTCATGTTTCCCTTGTTGTAACGTTAGTAGTGGGTGTCGTGAGATCCACTCCCATATCTTTGCCTTTCTCTTGTCATCCAAGCCTCTCACCATCCTTTTTCTTAGGCTTTTCAGCAAGCTATCCAATATGTAATCCACTTTTTATTGTAATATCCTTGCAATGTTCATTGCAATGAGCTTTTCCATGCGACTTCGGGTTTTCAATGTCACTAGGCAACACTCCTTACTGCCTATTACTCATAGCATTTGCTAATTGCCCAACTTGACTTTTTAAAGCTCTTAATGATGTTGTTTGACTTGACATGTACTCCTTCATTAAAGCTTTAAGAGAAGTAAGGTTGGAATCTTGATTAGAATTTTTTCCTTGATAATTCTAACATGGTTGTGTAGGTTGTTGTTGTGCCAGATGCTGAGGCATCATCTATTGTTGCTTGTAATATTATGGTTGATTGTAATGTTGTTGCTAATTAAAATTATACTATTACAGATCTGTAACATTTTGACTCCTCCAATATAAATTGGGATGGTTATGGAAGTTTCCATTGTAAGTGTTGCCATATGAATTATCATTCATGATGTAGTTCCTCACATAGTAGATGAATTCAGAATTTTTAGGGCATTCCTTATAGCTATGATCATCTCCACAATAAACACATGAGAGAAGGGATGTTGTCTTTACCTCGTACATACCTTCCGGGTTTTGTAACTTCTTCATCATGTCCATCAATTCTATGATTT